ACTTGGATCTATTTTTATGGTGGATGTTATTTTGTTTATAATATTTAGACATAAAATGAAGATAATTTTTAGCAAACACATAATGTTTCAGATTATTCTAACATTTTTGGTTAGAATCTTTGTAATGAAACAATTCGTTCCCTAAACGGTGAAACAGTTTCATTTATTCAAACATATAATTTTTCAGTTTTTATAAACGGTGAAACAATTTCATTCATTCATTTAATGAAACAATTAATTCCCTAAACGGTGAAACAATTTCATTCATTCATTTAATGAAACAAAATCATTGCTTTCGTATTCAAAAAGTTTCATTATTTTTTGTTGATTAAAGTATGTTTTATGTTTCATAATTTATTAGGATATACCTAGTTTCATTGGTCCTTACTAGGATCTATTTTTAAGGTGGATGTTATTTTGTTTATAATATTTACACATAAAATGAAGATGATTTTTCTCAAACATATAATTTTTCAGATTATTTTAACATTTTTGGTTAGAATCTTTGTAATTATAAAAATGATATATAGAGTTTTTAAAACAATGATTTTGTTTCATTAAGGAAACTATTGTGGATTTTGTTCCATTAAGGAATCATTGAAAAAAGGAAACTATCGATGAATATGTCTATAATCATATTGTGGATTTGACCAATTTGCCTTTTTTTAATTAAAAATTAAACTTTTAATTTCTTTTTCTTTTTTATTTCCTAATATAAACTCATTTAATCTTGATCATTGATCAAGAAAACAGATGGATGAAATTGGTTTGTAAGGTTTTCACAAATGAGGGTGATTTGCAATTTATCCCTCCTCTCTCTCTCTATATATATATATGTGAGAGAGAGAGAGATATTATTCAATCAAAAGAAGTAAAATTTTATTTAAGAATTATTTGGCTGAGTGAGTTTAAATATTGTCTAAGAAATAAAATAGGAAAATTGATTTATCATTAATTAATTAAAGGGTTTTATTATTTAAACTAGAAGAGTTTAGATAAAAGTTGTGGGCTTGATTATTTAATTAGATTAAAAATGCTTTAAGACCCAAATGTAAGAACCCAAATCCTCAAATGCTTCAGTGATTAATGCTAAGGTTAATAAATGAGCGAAAACAAATAGCAAAAACACTAGTTGGTTAATAAGAAATGACAATAGAGTAGTATTGAAGATCAAATACTTTTGGGAAATTGTCGAATCAAATGTATACCAATTACTTAAGAGAATAGAACATCACACTAAGAACACACAGTAATGTGTGATATGAAAATCTCTCTCAAGTGTTATAATCTCTCACACAATCTTTTCTAGGAACACGTCTTCAATTGGTAAGGAATACCTTAGAGGAATTACCTATATATAGGCGTTTCCAGAAAAAGGCATCTTCCAAAAAAAGACATATTTGGAAGGTTAATGCGTCCACCAGTCTGTTGCCTCCACGTGTAATGATTGTAGTAACCGTTTCTTCACACGTGTTGCAAGGAGAAAGACCACATGTGTAATAGAGACTAGACAAAGAACCATTATGTAAAGGGGCGAAGTTGAGACCCAGAGGCTTTGCATGTACTATGCAGAGGCTCTGTGTCTGAGACTCGGGCTTGCATCCCGAGTACTTAGCATCATTGAAGCGTGACTTCGGTCTTGATCTTATCTATATTCGAGCTCTAATTTTTGGCCACTTATAGACAACAAGTCCTTTTGGCTTAGGCAAGAGGCTTATTACTTACACTTTTTAAATACTAACAATCTCTCTGTAAGTGTAATAAAAAGAATTTGCACGAAATTAAATCTAATCTAGAAAGCAAGAGGCCAGCATGGTCCTCTATAAATAAGATTCATTGATTAAAAGCAAAATATTACTAGATTACAGGATACAAGCTCTATATGTACTGCAGTTTCATGAACCTTTTAAGAAGGTCACGAAAATCTAACACACCATCTATTGTTCGAAGTAGCTGTGCTATTGCTTCTCTTGTCGTGGGGTCTTCATCTCCTTTCTCTATGAATTTCTCCCTTACCTAGAATAGAGTTGCATTTGAGTACTTATACTTTTCATGGGATCGGAAGAAGACTTTCTCCGTGTGCTCGTTCTTGAAGATGAAACCCAACTTTGGCTCGACCAAGATGGTACCTATAGGGATGTGTCGAATGTCTTCTAGATGTTCATTTGGTGCAGTGACAGACAGTTGATCCACTCCCATCTCTAGCGCTATTTGGAAGTCCATCTTGTTCTTGTACTCTAGAAGATCGCCCATTGTTTGCCTTATCGCAGAGTTGGCAACAACATACTTTATCCCTTTGTCCCTCCTTAGTTTCAACCTAGAGTTAAACAAGAGGGCTTTCTTACCAGCTCTCAATTCCATGTGCTGAATTCTTTTATCATGCCATTTTTTTGTTTTCTCTTTATAAATCTTGGCATTCTCATAGGACAGATTCCTATGTTCCTCTAATTCACACAATTGGACTTTTCTTTTACTTGCAACCATATCTGGGCACATATTTAATTCTTTGATGGCCTAAAATGCTTTGTGTTCAAGTTCTAAAGGGAGGTGACAAGTCTTACCAAAAACCAGCTTATATGGAGACATACCAATAGGTGTTTTAAAAGCAGTTCGGTATGCCCATAAAGCGTCATCTAACTTAAAAGCCCAATCCTTTTGGTTTGGCTTGACAACCTTTTCTAAAATTTCTTTTATTTCTCGGTTTGAGAGTTCAGCTAAACCATTGGTTTGCGGGTGGTAGGCATTTGCAATTATGTGGTTAATGTTGTATTTTTCAAGAACTCCACTCAATAGGTTATTTACAAAGTGGGTACCCTCATCACTAATTAGTGCCCTTGGGGTACCAAACCTTGTAAAAATTTGCTTTTGAAGAAATTTAACCACAGTCTTGGCATCATTAGTAACACAAGCCATGACTTCTACCCATTTCGACACGTAATCAACAACGACTAGAATGTATTGACAATGATTTGATGGGGGAAATGGTTCCATGAAGTCTAACCCCCAAACATCAAACAACTCTACTTCTAAGATCCCATTAAGTGGCATTTCATTCTTTTTGGAAATGAAACCACTTCTTTGGCACTCATTGCATCTTTGTGCAAAATTATGGGCATCTTTGAAGAGAGTAAGCCAATAAAAACCAGATTGCAATACTTTCGCTACTGTTCTTTGGCCTCTAAAATGTCCTCCATATGCTGCTTGGTGACAGTGCTGCAGAATTGCTGCCACTTCAGTTTCTGGGATGCACCCTCTTAAAATTTGATCTACACTTATCTTAAACATGTAAGGGTCATCCCAAAGGTAAGTTTTAGTATCATGGAAAAACGTTTTGAACATATGGCTAGAAATATCAGACGGTTTGATTCCACAAGCCAAATAGTTTGCTATATCAGCAAACCATGGTGCCTTTGACTCTAACACTAGAATTCTCTCATCGGGGAAAGTTTCAATAATCTCTCCTTCTTCTAGGTTCTCCCTAGGCTTCTCTAATCTTGACAAATGGTCAACAACTTGGTTGTCTACTCCTTTCCTATCAACTATCTCAAGGTCAAACTCTTGCAACAACAGAACCCATCTTATTAACCTAGGTTTATCATCTTTTTTAGAAATCAAGTACTTGATGGCAGCATGGTCAGTGTGAACAATGACCTTTGTTCCCATAAAATATGATCTGTATCTTTCAAAAGCAAAAACCACAACTAACAGTTCTTTCTCAGTTGTTGTGTAGTTAAGTTGTGCTTCATTCAAGGTCTTACTTGCATAATAAATTGAATGAGAAACCTTTTCCTTTCTTTGACCTGAGACAGCTCCAACAGCCCAATCACTGGCATCACACATAATCTCAAAAGGTTTGTTCCAGTCAGGAGCAACAACCATTGGTGCGGTTACTAAAGCTTTCTTTAAAGTGTTGAATGCATTTCTACATTCATCTGTAAAATCAAATTTTTGGTCATGCTGCAAAAGTAAACATAAAGGTTTTGAAATTTTTGAAAAGTCTTTTATAAACCTTCTATAAAACCCAGCATGACCTAGAAAACTTCGTATTCCCTTAACAATAAGTGGTTTAGGTAGTTTTTCAATGATTTCAAGTTTGGCTTTGTCTACCTCAACTCCTCTTTTGGAAATTAAATGTCCTAAAACAATTCCTTCTTTGACCATGAAATGACGTTTTTCCCAGTGGAGAACCAGATCAGTCTCTTCACATATTTCAAGACTCCTTTTTAAATTTTCCAAACAATTATCAACAGATGAGCCATAAACTAAAAAATCATCCATAAAGATTTCTATGGATTTTTCAAGCATGTCGGAGAATATGGACATCATACATCTCTGAAAAGTTGTAGGAGCATTGCAAAGTCCAAATGGAATTCTTCTAAAGGCAAAAGTACCATAGGGACATGTGAAGGTGGTCTTTTCTTGGTCCTCGGGTGATATGGCTATTTGGTTATATCCGGAGTACCCATCCAAGAAACAGTAATACTCTTTTCCAGCCAACCTGTCCAACATCTGATCAATAAAAGGTAAGAGAAAATGGTCCTTTTGAGTAGCTTTGTTTAGCCTACGGTAGTCCATGCATATCCTCCAACCAGACACTATTCTTGTGGGGATGAGTTCATTTTTGTCATTGGTGACAATTATAAACCCTCCCTTCTTTGGGACACATTGGATTGGACTAACCAAGAACTACCGGCTATTGGAAAAATTATTACTGCATCTAGCCATTTCAAAATTTCCTTCTTCACTACTTCTTTCATGACMGGGTTCAATCTCCTTTRAGGCTCTATAGATTTGAAGTTCTTTTCATCTAGGATGATCTTATGTTGACAAATAGAAGGACTAATCCCCTTAAGGTCAACAATGGTCCATCCTATAGCTTTTGTGTGCAACTTCAACATATCTATCAACTTCTTCTCTTGATGTAATTCTAGGGTAGATGATATGATGATAGGTAATTTACCTTCTTCTCCTAGAAATGCATACTTTAAATGAGATGGGAGTTACTTTAACTCCATATCAGGTGGTGAAATTATGGATGGGGTAAAATTCTTAAGCTCACTATTATCCAGCAACTCAAATGCTGCAGCATCAGATGGGATATCACCTTCTAAATCCTCAATAGTCTCATCACCTATCTCAACACTTTCCTCTTCTTCTAACTTACAGGCCTTTCTAACTCCTTCCTCATGGCACATTGTCTCTATCTCAGTAACTTTTGAGCATTCCTCCAAGTAATCAGGGTACTTTAAGGAATTGAAGACATTGAATGTGACTTTTTGGTCTTGAAGCCTCATAGTTAGCTCTCCTTTTTGGACATCAATCAAAGTTCCACCAGTGGCTAAGAAAGGTCTTCCTAAGATGATGGGAATATCCTTATCAGCCTCAAAATCTAGAATGATGAAATCAGCCGAAAATATGAATTTATCAACCTGAACTAAGACATCCTCAATCTTATCTTTCGGATAAGCAATGGTTCTATTGGCCAGTTGCAAGGTGACAGTGGTGGGTTTAGCCTCTCCTATGCCTAAGGTGTTGAAAACAGACAAGGGTATGAGGTTGATGCTAGCACCAAAATCACACAAGGCTTTACCAATCTCCTTTCCACCTATAGAACAAGGAATAGTGAAAATTTCTGGGTCTTTAAGCTTAGGAGGTATTTTGTTGGTTAGAAGCGCACTACATTCTTCGGTAAGGGCTACGGTCTCATATTCGGTTAGCTTCTTTTTCTTACTCAAAATGTCTTTAAGGAACTTGGCATAACTGGGCATTTGCTCAATTGCTTTAACAAGAGGTATGTTGATGTGCAATGCTTTAAACATTTCCAAAAAACTTCTTGAATTGCAGTTCTTTCTTTTGATTTCTTAACCTTTGGGGAAAAGGAACATAAAGAGGAACTGGTTTTATGATGGCTTTGTTTGGCTGTGTTGAGCAAGATGGGTCCAGAGTGCCTAGAGTCTTGGTCTTACTTTCTTGAGGTTCAGATGGGATTACAACCTTGACTTTTGGACCTGTTATAACCTCATCCTCAATTGGCTTTTTCCTAGCAGCTTCTTCTAGGAATAACAAAGGATAGTCTGACTTAAGAGGAACAAAGGTGGTGGTCTTAGATGGTTGGTTATCCATAGGTTTTGGTAGACTTTCAGTAACAGGGACCATAGGTATAGTCTCAGGTTTAGACACAACCTGTTCATTTTCTTTTGCTATGGTCTCTATTAATTCCTTTTCACTCCTAAGAGTCACTACCTTTACATGTTCTTTTCCTAGATCTCTAGGGACTTTTGTGTTACTAGGCAAAGTACCAAGGGATCTACTATTCTGATTGAGAGCAAGTTGACTAACTTGCGTCTCTAGATTTCTGATGGCAGCACTCTGTTGATTGAACAAAGATTGATTTTGAGTTATCATTTGCTGCTGTGCTAGGGACTGAGTCACCAGTCCTTTTATCATAGCTTCCAAAAAAGATGATGAATCATACTGTGGAGGTGGTTTAGTCTGAAAAGGTGGTTGACTATTTTGAAAATTCTGGTGATGGTGATTTTGAGGGTTAGAACTGCTTGCATGTTGCCGCTGTTGAAAATTAGGGTTTCCTTGTTGCTTATGAACGGGTGGATTCAAACTTGGACTATTCCATGAAAAATTTGGGTGCTGTCTCCAACTGGCGTTGTATGTGTTAGTGTAGGGATTTGATCTGTTATGAACATAATTCACAGATTCAACATTATGTGGACACAGTTCATAAGAGTGTTCCCCTCTACAACAGACACACTGCACTGAGAGGACTGCTGGAATAGGTGATGTAATAGTTGACTGCACTCCTTGGCCAGAAGTTAGATTTTTAAGCATGTTGGCCATAAAAGAGAGTTGTGTTGTTAATGCAGTAATGCATCTACATCATGTATTCCTGTTGTCTTCTTTTGCGGTTGGGCACGTTGATAAGCCCGATGTCCATTGTTCGCAGAAATTTTCTCAAGGATCTCATATCCTTCATTATAGGTGCTAGCTGTAAAGGCTCCTCCCGCAGTTGCATCGAGCATCTGTTTAGCCATGGGACTTAACTCATTGTAGAATGTCTCAAGTTGAATGTAGTAGGGAATGCGATGGTGTGGGCATCTCCTTAATAGCTCTTTGAACCTTTCCCGAGCGTCAGGAACAGCTTCATCGTCCATTTGTTTAAAAAGGCAGATTTCGTTTCTGGACTTAGCGTTCCTGGTTGGTGGGAAATATTTTCGCAAATTTTTTTACGCCATCTTACTCCATGAAGGCACAGACCCTGGCGGTAATGAATTAAACCATGCTTTTGCCCGATCCCTTAGAGAAAATGGAAATAAAGTGAGTCTTAGAGTGTCATTAGATACTCCCGGGATCAGGAAAGCATCAGTGATTTCCATAAAAGATTTCAAATGTGAGTGTGGGTCCTCCGAAGGTAATCCGACAAACTGTCCATTTTTTTGCAACATGTGAAACATAATCGATTTTAGTTCGAAATGGAGAGTGGTCATATGTGGCCTAACTATCCCGGAATTTAATTGCTCAAAATCAGGGATGACATCCATGATCCTTCCATTTTTGGAATTTGCCAAATTAATGATGTTCGAAGTTTGCTCTCTTGGTTGTTCATTATTTTCTGACTCTGTGTGCTCATTATGATTATCATGATGTGGGTGTCCTTGCAGAAAGTTTGGAAATGGCGATATTGGCGCAAAGGCAGGCGGTTAATTTTCCAATTGTGGAATCTCTGGGATGATTGGGGAAGGTAACTCCATGTTGGGAGGGAGTAGAGCAAAAAATACTCTTTGAGCCCTCCTTCTTTGGTGAAACGTTCTCTCAATATCTGAATCCAATTCAAAAATTTCCCCGCGATATCTCCGTGAGATACACCACTTTCAAATCGGAATAAAACGGAACTAGAAAAATCAAATCTTTCACTTCACTTAAAAGAAAACTTTTAACTAACAAATCCCCGGCAGCGGTGCCAAAAACTTAACCGGGTCCGTGCTAACAAACCACAGACTACAATAAGAACCAAAAATAAGTATACAAATAGTCCCAATATCGTCTTTCAAGTAATAAAGTGGTACAAGTATCGGATATCGTCCATAGGGATCGTAGTAAAAGTTTAGAAGAAAGTAAAGTTAAGGAAATGATTTCAGAAGGCGAATTCGAAGACTTTGATTTGAACAGAGTTAACACAACTAAAAATTAACAGGAGATACCAGAATAATAAAAGCAAGCTAGGGTGTATGACTTTTCGGGTGAGATGTAAATATTATTTCCAGTAGACCAATGCTGTCAAAATTCTACAGCATGAGACCTTGCTGACAGATTGCTACAGCATTCAATCAGTAACAACTATTTTTACTAATTACTTTGAAGGTATTCCTCTCGGACTTCACCAATGCACTGATATTATAACTTTCAACCCATATCTCTATGAGGTATCCAGACCAGTGAAAGTGACAAATGGTGTCTTCAAAATATATGGATAAATAAATCTCTTTGTTAAAAATCACTCTCTCGAGTGGATTCCCATATCATTCAAGTTGACGTGTTMTGAATGGCTCATCTCTGAGTCCATTCCACTTTAACACTTCAAAGTGATCAACCTGTCGAGAATTAACAATTTAGAAAATATGGATAACAAATGTCTTTGTTAGAAACTCTCTCAAGTCTACTTCCCATATAATCCAAATTGACGTGCAATCAATGGCTCAGCTTAGAGTCCATGGCACTTTAACACTTTTCAGTGATCAACTCGTCAAGAAGTGTCATTGATTTTATAAAACTTGAAATGAAATAGTAAAACATTGTTGTTACATGAAAGGGTCGACTATATTTGATTTACAAACTCACCCTTTTCGTCATACACCCGAGYTAATAAAATTAGCTACTCATGACGAAAAGTAAATGACAAGAAATATAAATTGCGATAAATAAAGACATAAAATAAATACGTAATAGTAAATGACAGTATATAAATGCCAAAATATAAGATGCGGAAAGCATAATAAATAAATGACGTAAATAAAATGCAAGTAAGCGTAAATAAATAAAAAAAGATGGAATATTAAGAATGAGCAATTAAAGAAAGCGATTAAAGAGAACTCGAAACTTAGCCAAAAGATTACTTGATATTTAGAAAGAAAACTTGTTCTCCAAGTAGTAAGACAATCTACTTGAGAGAAAAAGTAAAGAAACAATGAAGTAAAGTGTGAGGTGTATCCAATACTAAACCCAACATCTCAATTTATAGTAGAGATGAGATGAGGGCATTTTAGACATTTCACCATAAATTAGTTCTAACTTAACCAAAAGTACAATAAAGTAAAACTAATAGTTATAAAGTAACTAAATTAGCTTAACAAGTTCCAGCTAATCTCAAAACATACAGCTGTCCTACAAATACGAAGTCTTTCAAAAGTCAGCTTCTAGTCTTGTCAGTCAACTCCAAGTCTTTTCAATCTATTTCTCCACCATCAGGTCATGCTGCTACATTCCTGCAATAGCAAACAGCTTCAACCTTTCCAAAATAAGTTCAAATTAGACCAAAATCCAACAAAAACAGGTTCATCATTCATTTAAGCTTACAAATAGAGAAAAGAGATAAAATGACTCAAAGTTGGGATATAAATAGAAAATAACCTATCTAAAAGAGGATAAAAAGGTGCTTTAAGCACTAAATACTTAGTGCGTATCATTCTGCATAGGTCATTGTGAGTTTTAACTCTTCCAAGGAGCTCTGAACATTGGTGGCAAAGGCATGGAACTCTATCTTTGTGACATAGTCAGATGGGGTGACCTCTGGCTCAACAAATAGGGCAGAGTGAGTCTTAGTTTCTAAGACACCTTCATTCAAACTTGTTTGGATGTTGGGTCTAGAAGGATTTTCGTCTAATCCTTGTATTTCTTCATATGAAAAGAATACTATAAATGTTCTGTAGGTGCGAAGTCTTCCATCTAATTTAGAGTCACACGGAAGCTCGTCGCTAAGTGGACTAAGTGGCCTATCGAGAGCCTCAGAGCCGTGGGAACCTAAAACTTGCTCTGAACAAGTTTGGGGATTTGTTTCTAGTGAAAAAGAAACACATTCCTTTCTAGGTACGGGTGTCATGGTATGGAGGGGCATACCACTTATCATTTTAGAGGTATCACCCTGTTGAGAGGGTGATCCTTGTAATCTGGGTTCTCTTTCACGGTGCAGACCAAAGACATATGCATCTTTTGGCTGGTCTGGCTGGTTAGGGATCGAGGTGTGCACATCTTGTTCAATAGCCTGTGTTGCTCGACCAATTGGGGTAGAGGACTGGCTTGCACTGGGGGTTGGAGATGGGAAATAAATGTGTGCCTCTTGGGGCATCTTGATGCACAACTCCTTCTGGCTCCTCCTCTCCCTCTTGTTCTTCCTCTGGCTGTGGGGCCATCTTCCTCATCTCTCTCTCTCAACTCTCTCCCTTTCCTTCATTCTCTCTTTTCCTCCCTCTTTCTTTTCTTTTCTCCTCTCTCTCTTTTCTTTTCAGTTTTGTCCTTCTTCTCTCTTTCTTTTCTCTCTCTATCTCCCCTCTTATTCCTTTACCTCTCTACCTATACATCAACTCCCTCTGTCTCACCCTCAACACCGGCTTCACCTATACGTGTGGGGGTTCGAGTCACAGGTTGAAGTGACTCGACACGTCTGTACGCTTGCCTCACAGTTTTTGTCTTGATATACTTTAACATATTCTTCGATAGGGGCCTTTCCTTTGGATAACCATCTTTATGGGCTGTTAGACAG